GAGATAATGTGCATTCATGCACGTATTTGATACATACATACACATGATTGCATAAAAGCATAGTTAAAAAATAGTGAATCCAATTAAACCAACTTTCAATTTTTAAGAATTACTTACACGCGTCTTCAAAGTAATTAAATTAGTATGTAGCAATGTATATCCAAGGCCTACCATATAATGACAATCATTTCTCTGGCAGCTAATACAGTATTGGTCCAACTAGAGTTAAACCAGTGTTTAAAATTCAATTTTGTCTCAATCTGTAGAAAAGCTTAATAATTGTTGTAAACATAATAAAAATTCAAAAAAGATGCGTGATATGTATGGCACATAATAAAATCTACATATTCTAAGAAAATTTTGCTGTACACCGCAGATTCTGCATAATAGATTTTAAACACTGGTTAAACTAATTTGGAGTTGGCGTTGGTAAGAATTAGGCGCCAGAGAAATGGAAAATTAATATGAACATGCCTGCGGACAGACATGAATTTTCAAAGTTATGCTTTTGATGACAATATAAGTCAACTAATGGAGCTAATTCAAACGTAACTTTTGTATCATTCTTGACTAAACAATAAATGTCCTCTGCTAAGCTCCGGACAATTATATGTATAAAAGCCTGCGAAATAAAATTTGATTATTACAAATAAAAAAAATTCTTGTAGCAATGCGAATGCAGAAATTTTAAGGAATTACTCATGCCTGTAATGATACATGCATTCGAGCGAATTAGTATAGATTCATGTGCATTTTTCCCACTGCTTCGCTTAGAATAGGCCTATTTTTTTTTTTATGCACTAATGCAAGTAAATTTTCCAGGAAGAACTTGATACACTTAATACACCTAAAACTTATAAGAGAAAAAATATTTTAATATAAAAGAACTAATGATTCCAAAACTTTCACTTTGAATTTATTCCCGTAAATATATAACGATAGTTCTCTGAATATAGTATCGCAAATTAGTCATTTCCAATCCCTAATCCTTTGTTATGCCTCCTGAATCCGTATCTAAAAAAACGCGTAGTCGCATTAGCGACAAACAAAAAAAAGAGATATGTGAATTCGCTAAAAAAAATCCATCATTTAAACACCATGAAATAGCAAATGAGTTCATGAAACGTTATCAAAATCTAAAAATTGACCGTACTACTGTAACAAAAATCCTAAATAAAGCTGATGAATATCAACAACTCCAAAATGATGATGATCAAGCTGAAAAAATTTTTCGACACCGTTCTGTGAAGTATCCCAGATTAGAACTCGCCATGAGTATGTGGGTAGAACGGGTTACAACTGAAGGGATGATTATATCGGATTCATTAGTAAAAGAGAAGGGACGCCAGTTTGCACAAGCATTTGCTATACCTGAAGATGCACTTGCATTTTCAAATGGTTGGGTTACTAAATTTAAAAAGCGTAATGGATTAAGAAAAATCACAATGCATGGCGAAGCGGCAAGTGCACCCTTGGAAAGTTTACCTAGGGAACGGCTCAAATTGCAGGAAATTCTTTCCAAGTATGACCCAGAAGACATATATAATGCTGACGAAACAGGCCTTTTCTACCGATTGCTACCTAACCAAACGCTTTCTAAAAAACCAATCGCGGGAAAAAAGAAGGTAAATTAAAAATAATATTAATTGAAACATAAAACCATCTAAAAAATAAAAAATAAAATAAGAAAAAAAAAAATTAAATTGGTTAAAAAGTCTTGAAAAAAAATATAAATTTTTTTTTAGGATAAAGTAAGAATAACAGTGCTACTTAGCTCAAATTCAACTGGTTCTCATAAATTTCGCCCACTAGTCATTGGCACTTCCAAGAAACCACGTTCCTTTAGTGGGATAAACATATCACAATTACCGGTGACGTATCGAAATAATGAAAAGGCATGGATGAGAAGTGACATTTGGGAACAATGGCTACATTTTATCGACAAAGGCTTTCGCATTCAAGGTAGACGGGTATTGCTTCTTGTTGACAACGCAGCTTCCCATATGACTCCCGGAACAAATAATACAAGCGAAGTCCAAGGTGAAGTCCAAGGTAATGATACAGATGATCCATCATCTGAAAATAATTCTACAGACGAAATCGGAGAGCTTCAAGAAGAACAGCCACGAGGAAGACAGAGAGGAAGGCAGAGGGGAAGAGCACGAGGAAGAGGGACACAAGCAAGAACACAGGGAGGACCATCTACTAATCAGTCAAGGAACCATTCATCCCTTACAAATGTTACTGTGCATTTCCTACCTCCAAACACCACCTCGCACCTGCAACCCATGGACGCAGGCATTATCAACAGCTTCAAATCAAAATATAAAAAGTTGTATTGTCGTTATTTACTAGAACAGTTTGAGAAAAATAAGGATCAAAGGTAAGAATGTTTATATTAACATATTCTTTTATATATTAATCATTTATCATTTATAAAATATTAGAAAACTTACATTGAAAAAAGCTATTGATTTCGTTGCCGAAGCCTGGGAGGGTGTAAATGATACTACCATAAAAAATTGCTAGAGACACACTAGGATTCTGCCGGAAATAAATGAACCGGAAATAGGTGAACTAGAAATAAGCGAAGAAAGTGGATCAGAATATGATATCAATAATATTTATGACCTTTCAGCCGAGACTAACCCGGCGGCCCAAGAATTGATAGATAATATCGAAGAATATACTTATATGATAGATCAACCGACTATAACTGAGGAGGTTCTAACGGACGAAGGTATCGTGGAAATGGTAATGAATGAGTTCTGTGAAGAAGAATCTGATGACTCTGATGAGAGATCACCGCCACCTCCTCCGATTACCCTTGCAGAAGCTGTTGAAGCTTTGGAAAAAGTCATTAGTTACCAAGAAAGTCTTGAAGTCGGAAAGGGCTTTGATGAAAATGGGTTAGCGACGTTAAGAAAAAAGCTCAAAGACTGGTGTTATGAAAGAGAAAAAAATAAAAAACAAGCTTCGCTTTTGTCTTTCTTTAATCGTATTGATTGAATCTGTGCGACCTTACAATCTAGATCTTTTTTTTTTTTTTTTTTTTTTACAATTTTTTTTTCCTTTTTTTTTTTTAAGTTTTCGGATAAAATAGTATGGCAAGTAAGAGATTTAGGAATCAAAGGGTTTAAAGAATAGAGAACTAACCGTTAGGTGTATGATATTATGAATAAAGAGTTTTTTACACTCGATCAAATTGTCTATTATAAGTGCAATTTTTTGACGGTGTCTTTATTAGAGCACAAACGAATGAACGTAAGAGTGCGATTCTGATTGGTTGTATATTATTAATCACATGACATGTGATTTTATAGAGAAGATTTTATATATGTGGTTAATGAAAAATAGTGATAGTGACTATAACGTGATTGTGCCTATATAGAGTATAAATTATTATTAAAAATTATTGGTAAAAATAAAAATGTGATTATATAGAATATGTGACTATATAGGAGGTGACTATATGGAGGTCCGACTGTATATACAAATTTAGAATAGATCTTGATACAGTATTTTGCTTATTTTGAACAGTACTTCAACAGTGGCTTAACAGTAGTTTAAACATTAATACTGTAATATCAATATAGTAAGAGTTGTTGTAGAAAAATTTTTATTAATATTAGTACAGAAGTACAGAAGTAAGATACAGTAACAAGTCGCACAAAATTAGATATAAGGTTTTGTGTCACTCTCCTGCAGAATTATTTCTCATGGTCGATTTTTTGATTTATAACAAATATTATGAATTATATCTAGACCATTTTCTTATTATATAAGATCCTGCAACAAGAATGAGACTTAAAAGGTTATAAGGGTAATATGTATAATGTTCTTAATCAGTAGTTTAGTCCAAATTCATATATTGCAGGAACTTGGAATTCCCAGATCATCAGATCTAAACCCACCTTAAGCGATCGTCGAATCTAAGAGGGTTAAGTTTACCAGAAAAAATAACAAAATAGGCTCAGTGTTTGGAACTTATGACCGAGCAGAGTTGCTTTGTTAAGTGTGGTATGGTATTGTGTTAGAGTAATGTAATTACTAAGCTTGTGATTTTTTCTGGCAGGTTCACTAGATCTAACGAATATGAGATATAAAAATAAGTGGATTTGCTCACAAGATAAGTCTCATAAAATGAGAATGCTTTGCATCTAGCAATAGCGTTGCTCTTATATAATTTTTTGGCTTAACTTATTTAAAATTTACTCTCAAGATCTGGTTAATATATATTGTTATGTTTTTTTTATTTCGAAAGCGAATTTCTACTTACTATTTATTTTTATATTAGAAAGCGAAAATAGCAGATATTACTTTAAATTATCATGTCAGCAGTGATTATTCGATTAATATTTCCCCAAATAATCTCCCAAATACGACAGTTGCCAACCTTAAAAATATGATTAGAAATAACGTTCCTTATAACGATTTTGATCTCTATGTAAATGATACCTCTCGAGATGTAAAAAAATATATGGATTCGCAAAATATGGTTTTAGATTATTTTGATAATAATAGACTGGGAAATCACATCCATATCCTTGTTTATGAAAGATAATTTTTTTTTATTTATATGTATTTGCACTATGTAACTATGATTATTTTTTTTATTTATATATTTTGTTGTCGTCCTGGCAATATAATTTTTTATAATAATAAAGGGAGGGGTCCGCTGGGCTTCCAATTTTTTATTTTTACGTGATCATGTAAATAAGTATTGGTCACTATTTATACTGTTATTTCGATGTTTAGATGCAAAAGCATCCTCTTTTCAAGAGATAAATATCTAACTCATGTTACGCTAAAATAAAAATTTTATTATTTGTATTTGAATAGGTGTGATATCCGTTGTCACAATGGTGCAATAAGACAACTCTATTTTATTGATTAAGGTGTGACATCAATGTCACAGTCAATTGTATAAATTATACAGCCTGGGATAAATTTAAAATCGTTGTATATCTGAAAATTAGAAACTGGATTATGTATATATCCTAGACAGTTACTGGTGAGATAATAGAACTCATCATTGGTGAGCTTTGTCTTTCATATCTTCTGTTATAATAATAATAACCTCTATTGCATCTACCATATTTATCATATCTATTATACCCATTATATCTGTTATCATCTGATTCATCTAGCCTCTCTTCTTCAGAATCATTGTCATGGCTACAATTACTATCATCGACTATCTGAACTTCATTAGTCCCTTTCTCTGACTGAGGTGTGGGATTATCAAAACACGCCTCATCATAATAATATACCTCATCATAGTCATCATGATTCTCTATTTCAGCTGGAGCGATTTGAGGCGTGAATGATGAATTACCTAAAGAATTAGAGCTATGTATAATAGAAATAGGTGTGATTAATTCGCTTACCTCAGCTGAATTTTGGCAGGAACCCCGGCTGAAATTTCAGAGTTGGTGACTTGTCTTCTTGCTTGGGGAAACTATCTATGATTTTTTTAATTTTGTTATTAGTTAACTCTGAAATAGAATTCGTACTATAGGTTGTGATATATTTAATTTTATTTATACCTAAATTTTCAAATAATTTGTATATTTTTACGGCTTTCTGAGTTTTTCTTTGCAAGTATTTATGTGTGATTTCTGGGAGTTGTAAACCTGTTTCTTCAGATCTCTTTTTACGGAGAATAGAAAAATCCTCCAACATTTTATCATAGATAATTCCTTTCGCTTTTTTCTTACCAATTTTACTAATTTTCATAGTTTCGTTAACTTGGGTTATAAATTTTTTTCCATAGTAGCACCAGCACAATATTTCTTTCTGATTCGCATGAATTGCACCATATTTAGCATCAGTCGCTTTATCAAATAATTGAGCTAAAGTAAGCAGTGGTACTGTAGAAGAAATTTGGCTTTGTTGTGATAATATATCATTAGAAGAACTAAGAATACATTTTTGAGACTGTGCATCATTTTGAATACTATCAGATATCATTTGAGAAATATTTTTCACACCTTTTTTCCTATGACTATTTTTTAGCAGGGGCATCCTAGCTAAAATTTCAGACTTTCTGAGTTCAGTGTTTCTGAATATCAAAGTTGAAGGAACCAATACCTCAGGTATCACCTCTTCTGGTGAAGTATTATCCGAAGATAAGTTTTGTCAGAGTATCTTTTCCCTAATTCTCTTTTTACTAACCTTTTCTTTATATGTTGAATCTAGGAAATCATCAATTTCCATGTCTTCTAATGATTTAGGCTCTATGAGAATAGGAGATATGAGATGTTGGTTTTCCGATTGCTGGCATATATCAAAGTTAGATACATCATCAGAATTAGAAGTATTATCAGATATATTAGATGCCAGAGTATTGTTAGAATTTTTCATTTTGGTAGAAATGGTATTAACTGAAGATTGATCAATTCTCTTAGCATTGTCATCTGATTTAACAATAAAGTTATTCTTTTCATTGGTTTGCGATTGCTTCTGCTCCAATTTCGCAATCCTAGCTTTAAGTTTAGCATTTTCAGAAGCGGTATCTTTATCATTCTGCTCCAGTTTTATAAATCTAGCTTCGATTTCTGCTTTATCTTGTTTTAATTTTATATTTTCAGCCTTGATATCAGCATTCTCCTTTCTAAGTTTATCAATTTGAAGAATGAACTTGGTATTCAATTCTCTCAACGAATCAATTGTGGATTGAGTGTCTTCCATTGTTTTATACAAGATACAGATATGTTCAAAAGTTCGAGTCTGATAAAATCACATGACTCCATGAAAAAAATTCACGCACTTTTCCAAAAAAAATTTTTAAAATTTCTCAATCATATGCTAGTTAGTATACATCGATAATAATACAATAAAATAAGTTCACTCAATATACACATGCAAAAGTAAACTGATTATGTATGCGATGAAATCAGCCACTAGGATCAGCTTTTTTAAAACGGAAAAATAAAACAAAATACATGATATTGCTATATTCTACTGTAAACTTATGCTATTTTCTTTAATATTCTGCCTTTAAGCAAAGGATTTTATATCACTTACCTTTTAGTTCTTGTCTGAATACTGTTAGTTAAGTTTTGTAAGTTCACAATTAACCCATTCTATAAATTGAGAACCCTTAATTAGGAATTTATCGACTTGTTATTTCTACTAAAAAAAGTAACTTACTCGTAAAACCATTAGAGAATGAATAAATTCCTCCACCTCTTCAGTTGACTCGTTATTAAAAGGAATCTTCGCCCTTGCAATAGGAAGATAATATCTAACATCCTTTTCCCATACTAGTCCATGTATTACAATATACTCCCCTGCTATATTGACACCAAATGCGATATAACGCTCATGGAGAAGCTGTTTCACGCATTTTTTCTTGATCTCTTTATAACCATCTAAACATAATTGGGCTAACTTATTATGATCATCTTGTTTCTTCTTATCTGTAAAACTCCATCTACCACTTTCAAAATATACAACCTCGTTCCACTTTTGCCTGAGAAATGTCCGAATCATTAAATCAGGTTTATCTCCTCTTGCGCCGTCTGACTGTTTCACTTTTCGATTTTTACTTGCTATACTTTGGCGCTCACCTCTGGTCACCTCAATTTCACATCCAATGGGCAAACGGTACATAGTCGCATCTATAAGACGAGCAATGCTTCCTACAAGCGTATTTTCTGAACCTTTATCAACCCGACGAAGTATATTTCTTGTAGTAAAACCTTTTGCTACCCGTTCTCTATCGTGGTTCTGCTCTACCCATTGGTCGTGCGTTACTAATTCTGTAGGTGCTAGTACAAATTTATATAGGCGTCGAGCCTCTTCTCTTTTTATGACAAAATCAGCGCACACATTTTTAATCAATGCATCTTTGTTTAGTCTTCTAATGCCGGCCTTTTGTCCCTATTAAATATAATTATTATCATTGTTTTTTATAAATCAAGCTTTCATATATATATACATACTACAAGAACGTCATAATCGCTTTCAAAGAGTTTATATTTATCTGAGCCGAGATCGATTACGCTAATACACAGAGGATCATCACAGGTTAAGCCTTCAATATCTACTTTACATAATTTTGCAAAAAGACGTTCATGCGTTGAGGTATTTTCATCCTGTAAAAAATAGAAACATTGAATATACAAAGTCTATAATCTTTGATCCATTGAAGATTTTAAATACAGTACCTTAATTTTTTCTTTTATAGTGCCTATATTGCTTAAAGCTTTTTTCTTCAGTCTGTCTGTTCTTTAAATTTATTATGCAAAATATTAGCATCTACCAATGATTTAAGCTCATTCCAAACGATATGCATCCACAATAATAGAAAAGCTGGGTTAAATTACCGGAAATAATCATCATCAATCTTCAGATAAACCCAACTAATCAGAAATTGCCATGGCTTATGTGGTACTCATATCAACATGATAGTGTAATGAAGAAGATTGTCGCTGACATTTTGTCGCTTATTCTACTTAATTACACTAAATTAAGATTTCGATAAGCTTCATCATCTTTTTATAAAAATAGTAGTGTAGTATTTTTGATTAAAGATACCTTATTATTGTCTTGTAATAATAACTTGAAATGACGTTTACGTTCAACTTTTAGATTTTCAAGCTCCATTTCTCTCAATAATCTCGCTACATGTTCACAATCTATTCCCTCTGTTTGTACATCATAATGACTCCACAATTCATGGAAAATTCTAGAGACTGTAAATTTTCTAGTGGTTCGTTTTTTAAAAACTCGCGGATAACAAATTCACATAATGAAGCAGATGATGTAGACATGTTTGATAATTTTTTAGTAAAAAATTTTAGGAGTGTGAAGTTCAATACAGAAACGAAAAATTATTCCGTAAAGATTCATGAAATTGTTGTACTGCCCTTTTATATGGTTTTCTTTCACCTTTTTCCTGAAACTCGAAATGTTAGAAAGGTTAGATAGAAACAAAAGCATGCGCTCTTACATCAAAAGTTTCCTATGAGAGATTGATGCACGTAAAGAATTTTTCTATTGATACAAAGAATTTCTATAAATTATGTAAGTGTATGCATCACGAGTAGGGATGTTATAGTTTCAAAAATAACCGTTAAGACTTAGTTCAAATAGAAGTTCTAGTTAATTATGGTTCTGGT